TTTTACCCTTGAAAGAAAGTAGTTCGTCTGAATACTTTCCATAGAAATAGCGATAAAGTAGCCAGAGCCTTAGAAATGTTTTGTCTGTGGGAAAGTGATTATGTGGTGGAAAATATGATCTACTGCAGGAAAGAGCGCTGAGGCGCGGTTGGATTCTAGATTGTAAAGTGAAGATTGGGTAGCATCTACCCAGTACTCAATACTCCATGTTCGACCTGATCTAGTTCTTGTAAAGGTAGAAGATATCAGGTACTTACTGAAGATGGAGAGGGAACCGATTATATTTTCAGCATCTTTACCAATTGATCTAATGTACGAATTCCACTTGAGGTCTGGGTTGTGCTTAACCAACAGGCGCTTAAGTCACCGAACCTCACTGAGAGTACATTCGATCATCGCGATAGGCGAAAATTCAGTTCCACCCGATAATGATGGAACTTCACAAGTATGGTTCTTTGAACTCATTGAATGAAACCAGAAATCCACCATCAAATGACCCCCCCCACCCAATGAGCTGTTAAAGTTAGATCAGAAAAGAGATCAGATGCCAGGCTCTGGGCATCTAAAGTTTTGGAGGTGCAACGATATAACGTTGTATCATCACCATACATATTCACACATGATCGGAGTATACTCATAGGCAGATCGTTTACGCAAATTAGTCTTTCTGGTTTTAAGATTTACAGCCGAAACTATGAACGATACTCGTATTAGGTACATATGTATGGAAAAAAGAAAGTCATCACTGGAATAGAGAGTACGGCCACAATAGAGTCCGACCACTATATATATATATATATATATATATATATATATATATATATATAGTGCTGTTCGATAAAAGTGGCACCTGATTGTTTTTACTAAATGTTCTCTTCTCCGATGAAACGAAAGTTGAGCTAAATTCAAAGGATAAGCGATCTAAAATCCAAAGAAGCTTTGAAAGCTCTTTGAATTTAGCAGTAAGTACTGTCAAACTCCGGTCAGTATAATGTTCTGGGGATGCTTTTCCTTTTCATGGAACTGGTTTCTTAAAACCTATTGAAAATGCCCTCAGGAGCGAGCAGTACAAGAGAATTTTAGGGTCTTGTCTGCTCGCTTCTGCTGAAAGGGTGCAAATCGACCCCATCAAGTTCATTTTTATGCAGGATAATGCTCCCTGTCATAAATCAAAATTGATGAACGAATACTTTGATGAGAAGCAGGTGAGTGTTATTACATGGCTGCCCCAATCTCCTGACCTCAACCCCATAGAAAACTTATGGAGCATGTTGCTCTCAAGCCTGTAATTTTATAATGCTCTCAAGGGCCTGCGGTCAGATTAGGGGCAGCCATGTCATAACACTCATATGCTTGCCATCAAAGTATTCCTTCATCAGTTTTGATTTGTGACAGGAACATTATCCTACTTGAGCTTGGTTGGGTCAATTTGCACCCTTTCAGCAGAAGGGAGCAGACAAGACTCTAAAATTCTCTTGTATTTGTTTGTTCTTGAGGGTCTTTTCAATAAGTTTTGAGTAACCAGTTTCATGAAAAGAAAAGCATCCCCAGAACATTATATTGAACGGATGCTTGACAGTACTTACTGCTAAATTCAAAGAGGTTTCAATGCTTCTTCTTCGGGTTTTAGATCGCTTATCCTTTGAATTTAGCTCAACTTTCGTTTCATCGGAGAAGAGAACATTTAGCAAAAAATCAGGTGAGTCACTTTATCGAACAACACTATATATATATATATATATATATATATATATATATATATATATATATACACACATATATATATATATATATATATATATATATATATATATATATATATATATATATATATATATATATATATATATACAGTAATTATTGGGAGGATTTGATAATTATATTTAATTAATTCATCGAGTCTGATAGAAACCTCCATTGATAGTAATATCCTCCCAATAATTACTGTTTGGGTGTTCATCATCGCTTGAACCGGCTTCTAATGCTCCAGTTGGAGCGGCTTGGTGAGAGTAGCCGTGGCTCCAGGGGGCACAGTCCTATGGTTATAGAGAACTCAGTAGAATTCCGCCACGGAATTTGTGAGCGAGCGGCGCTAAGTTGAGTCTGATTTGGAATCTCTTCGTCACCGAGGCCCATTAGAACAGTTGGTATGATGTTTGCTTGACAACCTAACTGTCAGGGTTTCAATTCTCGGTAGTGTATGTGCACTGCTGATGAGTCCCAAATATGGGGCGAAACGGCCGTCCGGTGTTTCCTGCCTTCTGTGGAGGTTTCTGTCAGGCTCGATGAATTAATTAAATATATATATATATATATATATATATATATATATTTAAATAGTTAAGACATAGACAACCTTAAGTTTCCATGATTATCAATTATTTCCCTAGGAAATATATTTTTCAGGTTCATGAGATCACATCTCTAGTTACAAAAGAATTAGGTTTCTTTTATTTTTATTAAAATTTCTGAGGGTTAGTTTTAGATTGATATAACTTGACAGAGGTGTTTGAAGGATTATGGAAAGGTCCATCTTGAAATGTAAATAGGGATAAGCTGGGTTTTTTTTTTAAAAAAAAAAAACTTTCTTAAGTGTACTCAGTTAAGAGGCCAGTCAATTTGACCTCTTAAATAATTTTTAGAAAGGAAGAGAAAAGAAGAAAAAAGGGAAACAAATAGTAAAGCAGGTGAGGTGGGAAAGAGGAAGAGAAAGAAAGGGTTAAGCAGAATGGAGAGGGAAAGAAGGAAGAGTTAGTTCTCCTATGTAGGCATCTCATGGTGAAACTTGAAATGCACATAATTTGAAATGCACATCAATATAAATTATAGTTAATACATAAAGTATTAAAGATTACCAGTAAAATAGGAATAAAATAAAACAAATTATATTTAAAATGTTATTAATTATATTAATTTTGATTAATACATTTGTAATGTTTATAGGATAATATATTAAAAATTATTGAAAAGTTTTTCTTCCTTACCTTACTATATATATATATATATATAATATATTATTATAATATATATATATATATATATATATATATATATATATATATATATATAATAGAGTTCAAGTGTAAAATAAGAAAAATATTTTTCAAATTACTTAATAAATACTTCCTCAAAATTCCGAATTACATAAAATATTTAATAAATACACAGATAAATGAAGCTATAGAAATTTAGAAGCTACAGTAAAAAGACAAAACGTTAGAAATCTTTAAAAAAATAACGTGCAGCAAAACATCGTAAACAGTGAAATAAAAGAAAACCTGTTTTTTTTGTTTATAGTTTGTTTAGAATAAATAAATATGTTATTAAAAAAACTGTAGAAATATAAGTAAATGTCCATTAAATGAGTTTAAAGAGTAATTTACAAAGCAGAAATAATAGATACAAATGGCCAGAAAAAATATAAACAGGGTGTACTGAGGGTAAGTTTAAGAAGAGGAGGTGTAATCGCAAGTTATCTTTTAAGCTAGAATGTCTTAGGGATTCTTCTAGTCTACCCAACCATTTATGGAAATTAAAGAACAAAAATAAAAAAGATCCGATTGTAAACATGAATATTTTTAAAAAAAAAGAAGAAGCAAAATCTTACAACAATTATAGTAATACCTGCAAACTTTGTCAACAAAAAAAGTTGCCTATAAAATGTATACAACGGGTCATAATTTTCGATCTCTCATTCAAAAAGATTTTCTTTATGCATTTTCATTTTGAGTTCATATGAAGTGGGATGAAAAGAAAATATGTATATTTCATTTACCCCAGCCACTAGAAAATTAAAAATATCCAGAAATAGAGTTTTATAGTAAAAGAAATTAAAACAATAGATTTTTTTTTAAATTCCAGAAATATATTTTAATAGTAGGAAAAAAATTTAGCAAATCTTCCAAGAAAATTAAATTTCGACATTAAATGACCCATGAGGAGTTGATATGCAGTTAAACAAAGAAATCAAACCTGCTTCCGCGCACTCAAACACACACAGTACGGCTAACCCTTTAAGTTTTTCTTTTTCTTATTCTTTTTATCTATTTGTGTGCACAATAGGATATTTTCTCTCTTTTGTTATTCGTTATATAAAGATGCATAAAAATATCTCCACGTGTTGAAATTTATTCTTGAAATTGCTGAATTGAATTTTTTTTTCTGAAGTTTCCAAATTCAATGTGGTTCCATCCTCAAGACAGCGTTATAAATTCACTTTCTCGTCACCAAACGTGATTCGTGTAAGCGAACAGTCACAATTGAATTATTGAAATAGATTGAATAAAATGCCTGTTTCGCATCTGCTTCGAGAAAATAACAGTCAACTCTCGCTGATAACAGACATCATTTATTTGAAACAAAACTTGAATTCCAGGTCATTTGAATCAGAGCCGAATTCCTAAAACCATCAATGCGATAAGGAAATACAATCTCAAAAAAAACTCAGACAAGGATCATTAATGAAACTGAAATATTTGGGGTTTATGGCCACGTCACGTTAAAATACCGGTTCTCTTACGATCGACGAAGTCAAGCAACGTCGAGCCTGATAAGTACGGAGAGCCGAGTTCCAATTCCAATTGGTTTCACCATATTCAATTACGCGCAAATACACTTGTTAAAGGTATGAATGCCTCTCTGTTCCGCCCAGCTATGGGTTAATTAGTAAGAAAAAAAGAATGAAAGTAAGCCATTATTATTTCAAAATAAATTAGTATAAGTAAACCATTATTATCTCAAAGATTGAAAAAAAAATTATTCTAAAAGAATATATTTTCTGAGAATACCAGGTGCTGTAAGCTTGGATGTGCTGCTGGCGGATAAGGGCTCTGAATTATTAATTTGAGAGTTGATTTCCCGTACAATCACGGAAGTTAAGCAACGTCGAAACTGGTCAGTACCGAGATGTGTGACCGCTTGGGAATACCAAGTGCCGTAAACTTGAATGTGCTGTTGGTGTAATGTATAAAGGGCTCTGCGTTATTAATTGGAGAGTCGATTTCCCGTACGGTCACGGAAGTTAAGCAACGTCGAAACTGGTCAGTACCGAGATGGGTGACCGCTTGGGAATACCAAGTGCCGTAAACTCGAATATGTGTTGGTGTAATGGATAAAGGGCTCTGCATTATGAATTGGTGAGTCGATTTCCCGTACGGTCACGGAAGTTAAGCAACGTCGATCCTGGTCGGTATGGGTGACCGCTTGGGAATACTAAGTGCTGTAAGCTTAGATGCGCTGGTGATGTAATGGATAAAGGTCTCTGAATTATTAATTAGAGAGTCGATTTTCCGTAAGATCACGGAAGTTAAGCAACGTCGAGCCTGGTCAGTATGGGTGACCGCTTGGGAATACTTGGATTTTGCTGGTGGTGTAATGGATGATAGCTCGGAACCTTCAATCGGGGAGCGGACTTCCAGTTCCAGACGGGTTTGTTATATTCACTTACGCGCAAATACCATTGGTAAAGGTATGAATCCGCTTCTTCACCCCCAGCTATGGGTTAATTAGCAATACTTGTATCACTAGACCATTATTATCTCCCAGAAAATTCATAAAACATCTTACAATCGAAAAAATATTTTCTGGTTTTAAATAACCTACAAAAGGGTTGATCAGTCAATCAAATATTGATTAGCTACACAGGCATGTCGTATACATTTATTAACATCGTCTGGAATATAAATGTATAAAAACTACTGTGACCATAAAGTGAGGGATCAGTTTATATATTGATTGTGATCCAGAATTGTCCCCCACTATATATCCACATGATATTTTTTGTCTCTTTATAAAATTCTTATCATTTATTAATCCACCTCTTCTCCCCTAGCTATGGGTTAATTAGCATCACTAAATTATTATTACCTGTAAAAAAAATTCTTATAATCTAAACATATTTCCTGCCTTTAAATAACCTGAAAAAGGGTTGATAAACCGTGAAAAAACGAATAAATCAATAAATAAAACACTGATTAGCTACCCATGCATGTATTTTAGATTTATTTACATTCTCTGGAATATAAATGTATAGAAACTGCAGTGGCTACAAAGTGAGGGATCAGTTAATATATTGATTTTAATATAGAATTGGTCCCCCACTTTATATACACATTATAATTTCTTGTTTATTTATCAAATTCTGATTAGGTACGAATCGAACTCTTCTATCCAATTCTATGGATTAATTAATTATCATTAAATGATATTAAATCCAAAAATAAATTCACAAAATCTAAAAATATTTTCTGTCTTTAAATAACCTGCAAGGGGTTTGATAGGCCGTAGAATACGAATCAATCAATCAATCAAATATTGCTTAACTCCGCAAGCATAACTTTTAGATGTATTTACATTCTCTGGAATATAAATATATAGGAATTACCGTGGCCACAAAGGAAAGATCACTAAACCATTATTATCTTTAAAAAAAATATATTCTTTCTTTATTTATTTCTTTCTTTCTTTATTTCTTTCTTAGTTTTTCTTGCCACCCACATGACTTACCATCGCTTCTTTCATTCAATCATTCTATCTTTTCGTCTTTCTTTCTTTCTTTCTTTCTTTCTTTCTTTCTTAGTTTTTCTTGCCACCCACTTGACTTACCATCTCTTCATTTATTCATTCATTCTATCTTTTCGTCTTTCTTTTTTTTTCTTTTTTCTTTCTTTCTTTCTTTTTTTTCTTGCCACCCACTTGACTTTCTACCATCTCTTCTTTCATTCAATCATTCTATCTTTTCGTCTTTCTTTCTTTTCTTTCTTTCTTTCTTTCTTTCTTTCTTTTCTTTCTTTCTTTTTTTTCTTTCTTTTTTTCTTGCCATCCATGACTTACCATCTCTTCTTTCATTCATTCTATCTTTTTCTTTCTTTTCTTTTTCTTTCTTTCTTTCTTTCTTTCTTTCTTTCTTTCTTTCTTTCTTAGTTTTTCTTGCCACCCACTTGACTTACCATCTCTTCTTTCATTCATTCATTCTTTCTTTTCGTCTTTCTTTCTTTCTTTCTTTCTTTCTTTCTTAGTTTTTCTTGCCACCCACTTGACTTACCATCTCTTCTTTCATTCATTCATTCTATCTTTTCGTCTTTCTTTCTTTCTTTCTTTCTTTCTTTCTTTCTTTCTTTCTTTATTTCTTTCTTAGTTTTTCTTGCCACCCACATGACTTACCATCGCTTCTTTCATTCAATCATTCTATCTTTTCGTCTTTCTTTCTTTCTTTCTTTCTTTCTTTCTTAGTTTTTCTTGCCACCCACTTGACTTTTCTTTATCTCTTTCTTTCATTCATTCATTCTTTCTTTTCGTCTTTCTTTCTTTCTTTCTTTCTTTCTTTCTTTCTTTTCTTTTCAGTTTTCCCACTTGACTTACCATCTCTTCTTTTATTCATTCATTCTATCTTTTCGTCTTTCTTTCTTTCTTTCTTTCTTTCTTTCTTAGTTTTTCTTGCCACCCACTTGACTTACCATCTCTTCTTTCATTCAATCATTCTATCTTTTCGTCTTTCTTTTCTTTCTTTTTTCTTTCTTTTCTTTCTTAGTTTTTTCTTGCCATCCACTTGACTTACCATCTCTTCTTTCATTCATTCATTCTATCTTTTCGTCTTTCTTTCTTTCTTTCTTTCTTTCTTTCTTTCTTTCTTTCTTAGTTTTTCTTGCCACCCACTTGACTTACCATCTCTTCTTTCATTCATTCATTCTTTCTTTTCGTCTTTCTTTCTTTCTTTCTTTCTTAGTTTTTCTTGCCACCCACTTGACTTACCATCTCTTCTTTCATTCATTCATTCTATCTTTTCGTCTTTCTTTCTTTCTTTCTTTCTTTCTTTCTTTCTTTCTTTCTTTCTTTCTTAGTTTTTCTTGCCACCCACTTGACTTACCATCTCTTCTTTCATTCATTCATTCTATCTTTTCGTCTTTCTTTCTTTCTTTCTTTTTTCTTTCTTTCTTTCTTTCTTTCTTTTCTTTCTTTAGTTTTTTCTGCCACCCACTTGATTCTTACCATCTCTTCTTTCATTCATTCATTCTATCTTTTCGTCTTTCTTTCTTTTTCTTTCTTTCTTTCTTTCTTTCTTTCTTTCTTTCTTTTTTCTGCCACCCACTTGACTTATCTCATCTCATCTTTTCATTCATTCTATTCTTTCGTCTTTCTTTCTTTCTTTCTTTCTTTTCTTTCTTTTCTTTCTTTCTTTCTTAGTTTTTCTTTCCACCCTTGTTTTTCTTGCCACCCATTCTTGACTTTTTCTTTCATTCAGTTTTTCTTTCTTCTTTCATTCTTCTTCATTCATTCATTCTTTTTCGTTTCTTCTTTCTTTCTTTCTTTCTTTTTTCATAGTTTTTCTTGCCACCCTTTGACTTACCATCTCTTCTTTCATTCATTCATTCTATCTTTTCGTCTTTCTTTCTTTCTTTTTCTTTCTTTCTTTTCTTTTCTTTTCTTTCTTTTTTTCATCCATTCACTTTCCATCTCCTCTTCTTTCATTCTTCATTCTATCATTCGTTTTCTTTCATTCAATCTTTCTTTCTCTATTCTTTTTTCTTAGTTTTTCTTTCTTTCCATCTCTTTTTTTTCTTTCTTTCTTTCTTTCTTTTCGTCTTTTTTCTTTCTTTCTTTCTTGTCTTTTTCTTTTTCACCTTTTTTTCTTCTCTTCTTTCATTCATTCATTCTATCTTTTCTTTTCTTTCTTTTTCTTTTCTTTTCTTTTCTTTCTTTCTTTTCTTTCTTTCTTTCTTCTTAGTTTTTCTTTGCCACCCACTTGACTTACCATCTCTTCTTTTTCATTCAATCATTCTATTCTCGTCTTTCTATCTTTTCTTTTTTTTCTTTCTTTCTTTCTTTCTTTTATTTCTTTCTTAGTTTTTCTTGCCACCCACTTGAATTAATTAATTTCATTCATTCATTCTTTCTTTTCGTCTTTTTTTCTTTCTTTCTTTTTCTTTCTTTCTTTCTTTCTTTCTTTCTTTTTCTTTTTCTTTTCTTTCTTTCTTTTCTATTCATTTCATTCTATCATTCATTCTTTTCTTCTTTCTTTCTTTCTTTCTTTCAATCTTTTCTTAGTTTTTTTTATTGACTTATCTTTCTTTCTTTCTTCTTTCTTTCTTTCTTTTCTTTTTTTCTTTCTTTCTTTCTTTCTTTCTTTCTTTCTTAGTTTTTTTTTCACCATTTGTGTCTTTCTTTCTTTCATTCATTCATTCTATCTTTTCGTCTTTCTTTCTTTCTTTCTTCTTTTCTTTTTCTTTCTTTCATTTCTTTTTTTCTTTCTTTCCCAAATTCTTTCATTCCATTCTTCTTTCTTTCATTCATTCATTCTTTCTTTTTTCTTTCTTTCTTTCTTTCTTTCTTTCTTTCTTTTTCTTTCTTTCTTAGTTTTTTTGCATTCCATTCATTTCATTCATTTTATCTTTCTTCTTTCTTTCATTTTCTTTCTTTCTTTTCTTTCTTTCTTTCTTTCTTTCTTTTTTTCTTTCTTTCTTTCTCTAGTTTTCTTTCCTTTCTTTCAACCTTCTTTTTTCTTTCTTTCATTCTTTCTTTTTTCTTTCTTTTCTTTCTTTCTTTCTTTCTTTCTTAGTTTTTCTTGCCACCCACTTTTCTTTTTCTTTCTTTCATTTATTCATTCTTTCTTTTCGTTTTCTTTCCACCCACTTTCTTTCTTTTCTTTCTTTCTTTCTTTTTTCTTGCCACCCATTCATTCTCTTTCTTTCATTTTCTTTCTTTCTTTTCTTTCTTTCTTTTTTTCTTTCTTTCTTTCTTTCTTTCTTTCTTTCTTTCTTTTCTTTCTATTCTTTCATTTTTCTTTTCGTCTTTTTTTTTCTTTCTTTCTTTCATTCTTTCTTTCTTTCTTTCTTTCTTTCTTTTCTTTCTTTCTTTTTTCTTTCTTTCATTTTCGATTTCTTTCTATCTTTTCTTTCTTAAAAAATTGCCATTCATTCATTCTTTCTTTTCATTTCTTCTTTCTTTCTTTCTAAAAACTTTCTTTCTTTCTTTCTTTCTTTCTTTCTTCTTTCTTTCTTTTCTTTCTTAGTTTTTCTTTTCCCACTGACTTACCATCTCTTCTTTCATTCATTCATTCTATCTTTTCGTCTTTCTTTTTTTCTTTCTTTCTTTCTTTCTTTCTTTCTTTTTTCTTAGTTTTTCTTGCCACCCACTTGATTTACTTTCATCTCTTCTTTCTTTCTTCATTCATTCTATTTTTTTTCTTTCTTTCTTTTTTTTCTTTCTTTTTCTTTCTTTCTTTCTTTTCTTCTATCTTCTTTCATT